CAGCAGGAAATGTGGGCTGTAGCACAGGGGTTAAGGCTGTTTCCTGTAGCAAGTGAGAAGCAGTTGAGAACGTGACAGAAGCAGACTAGCAAAGGATGAGGTGAAGGAAGGCAGCCTGTGCTGGAGTTGGTGACAGTGTTAGCATCCCGTGGGACCAATCCCGACTTGTGCTTGACTAGTGAATGGAAAGGAATCTGGCATGCCGTGTGCAGTAGAAGTGTGGGGGTCCAAAGTGGGTGGCAGGGAGTCTGGTTACCTTGCTAATGCATGGTTGTACCAAGGAAGCCTGCTCTGTGTCGGGGGGCAGGGCTAGGTCATTTCCTATCATGCCATGTACAATACCCATTAGCCAGGGAGCAGCCTCTTCCTGTAAAGATTAGCAAAGCGCAATCAGCAGCCAAATTCCTGCCCTTGCCCTGAGCTATTTTGGATTCAAATGTGTAGTAAATAGTGCTGTCTACCCACTCTTTCACTGCTGAATGTGAATTTTCTGCCTTGGTACAATTTTCTGCTTTGTTGAAATACAAACTTGCTCAGAATGGTCTACACATCCATAGGAAATTACCAACAACACCCTTTCTATACTGGCTGCTGTGAAAGCAAACATTACTCCCAATGATCAGCGGTTCATATAAGGCATAGAATCGAGTTATTACGTCTCTAATCTGAAGGGGAGACAGTGGCTCGCTGAATGCAACACAGTGAATGGCAAGTGCAGACTGGTGGCTGTGTATTTGCCCGTTAACATTTAGCTTTTTTCAGTGTCCCTGTTCTAAAACTGGATGACTCACTCACGCTGCCATTTCTATTAATAAGGGTTTGAAGGCAAAAAAAAAGTGCTGCAAAACTGAAAGATGACTGACTATTACTTTAATTTTGGCAAAAGGCAAGACTCTCTGAATCACAGAACTGGCAGGAAGGGAAATCAGATTGTTCATTTGGTGGAAGGTGCTTTAGAACATGCTCCTAAAGGTTCTTGTTTTAAAGCATCTCTTACTGCAAATCCTGCCTCCCCCTTCAGCTTCCGCTTACAGATGTGACACTGAAACCATGTGCATGCACACACATTGTGGCTAGGGTTGCCAACCCTCCTGGATTGGCTGGGAGTCTACCAGAATCGGCTTCAATCTCCTGGTGACTATTGAAAGCCATCCAGGAGATCGATATTGTGAACGGGTTGAACAGTACAATTAATTACATTACGTCATGGTGACGTACATCATCTCCTGGTGACTATTGCAAGCAATCCAGAGATTGATATTGTGAACAAGTTGAACAGTACAATTAATTATATTACGTCATGTTGGGGGAAAAAAAATCTGGAATAGCTTCAGTTAGAGCTGGCAACCCTAATTGTGACCTGTTTAATATTAGGTACTCTGTCAAACCCCTCATCTCTGTCCATGGCATAGGGTGACATTTTGATTCCTGATTACGTGACACATCTGAAAATCAAAGCAATGCTGATGCTCCGAACGCTTTTGCAAACGGAAGACAGCATGTTTGAAACTCATTCAGTTCAAAGCCACACAGGTCAGAAGGAACTTGACTGTAACAGAAATTACTTGGGGGCTTATCTCTTTTAATTTAAGCCACCATCAAGCAGCAGTCACTGCAAAACATTAGCACAGCGCTGCATATTCCCATGGCACAGAGGGCATAAATAAGACCTGCTCTCTGCTTTTATGTCTCTTTACAACAGTGGGAAGGCTGTTTCTCTGAATGCTTTCAAGGATGGGAAGAAAATGAGACAAAAACACCACTGGCTACTTTTTTCCTTTGGGCTGTGACAACATTTATAGCCCTGTCATTATCTTCTGCCTCCCCTACTGGCTAATGTTCATTTCTTCTCTTGATGCTGCTTTAGAAAAATCTCTTCTTGTCCATTACTTCCAAGGCAGTGAATTGGGAGAGACTGACAATTGTTCGCTGCAGAGAGGGTGGGTGGGTGATGTTCTTTAAAGAGCACCCTCAATACACCTCTGTCTGAGCAAAGACTGCTGTAATAGGCTCTAGGAGACAATGCACTGAAACAGATGCTTTATTTATGCCTTGCCAAACTTTAATTGCAGGGGAAGATTAACCCTATTTATGTGCCTCCACTGCTGCAGTATCTGGGGGCTGGGGTGGCGTGGACACTAAGGTGCATGGTTGATAGTGCGACCATGTCAGATTCCAATGAATCTGTGAATTCTGCTAAATATTTTGTCACAAGGACACAAAAGGAAGGAAGGGACTGCAGTAGCTGAGTACATTTTTGATTCTCTGGTCTTTATAACAATTAAAGACACGATTGCTTAATAGTCAACTTTCAACTTCTCCTTTAAAAAAAAAAAAAGCTGAGTTGTGCAGGATGGAAGCCACTTGGATGGTAATGACAAGGAAGGGGGAAATGCAAGATTTAATGACTGACGTGTCTTTTGCTTGGTGGTAGAACCAGAAAGGGGTCTATGCTGTGATCAGACACGGGACTTGCAGAGCGAGCTGCAACAGTATCCAAAAAAAAATCCAAGATCCTTGTAATCCAAAGGAAGACAATTCTCTCATAATTGTCAAAAAGGAACTTCCCCATGTGTGAGTGAGTATGAACTGTAATGACCCTACGAGCTGAGTCCTGGCTGGGGTATCATGCAGAGCTTCACAAATAACTATTAACAGAATAAAACATATGTATAACGATACAAATAGAAAAGTGCTCATGCAGAACCCTTTTTGGCAGTTCTGTTTCATACGTGGCACTTGTACAGTACTGTATATTGTAGAACGAATCAAACCTTTTTTTCCCATGAGAGTTAAGTATTACATCCCTGTTTTACAGATTTGGAAACAGAAGCAGATGAACCAACTCACCCAGGGTCACAAAAGGCAGTTAGTGTTACAGCAAGGATTCAAAGTCAGGAATTCTGTAGCTAGCCCATGCCATTGTCTTTGCTTGGAGCAATGACAGATTTGGAGATTTTGGGCAGGCCAGCTCAGGCACTCAGCCAGCAGATTCAGGAAGGGATAGCCAAATGTTTCTAGGGGAAAGCTGCCAATTACATCACTGGTCAGTGCTTCAAGATGTCTTATTGCCTTTGTTCCTTAAATAACCAACTGACTTAACCTTCCTTACACTGCTAGATGCCAATGAGGTGCTAGGATGAAGGATGCTGCCAAGGGACTCGTTGAACCTGATCCCAAAAAGGAATTAATCCATGGAGCTAAACAATAGGTAATGTTCTTGTCAGAACTAGAGAAACAGAAGTCTGCGGGCAGAAAAGTAGAGGTAGGGAGTTCATTTTCTTCTCGCTTGCCAGTGTATAAGTAACTCTATGGAAGTCTAGGGAATTACTCCATTATAAAAATTGTGTAAGTGACTGGAGAATCAGGCCCATTGTATACTTATTCTGGTCATGTGTATTGAATAAATGCTTCTGTTCTATGTGAGCATCCAAGAGAACAATGTAGTACTTCACATCTCATTTCTATTCTGTTACTGGCTCAGTATTTTTAGTTTTCATTCACTAGAAGGTGAAAAGGGGAGATGATCTGCTGGTCCTAATGGAAGGAAAGATGTTTTTAAATATAAGCAAAGATTGCACAGTTCACCTCCTAATAGTGAAAATGGAATTAAAGAAAAATGAAATTGAATGTTGCTTCCTAACAAGGGCACTTGCCTGACAGGAAATCATGCATATTGTATGGCTTTGCCTTCCCTTGTTATATTAAGTTCTCAGACAGTGAGGGAGAGAAAGTGTTCAGTACTAAGATGAATATCTGCCTAGGAGATGAAGGTCTCACTCCAATATATATTAGGTGTACTATTGTACAATGATTACTGAGGCTGGTTCATGGTTACAGGAAAAGTAACACCCTTGTCATGGCAACAAATGCATAGATCCTAACTCCAATTTATTAAAAAAAAAGTCTAAAATCCTGTTGCATACATTACTATAATGAGCACTGAATGAACAATTGAATGATAATGAACACTTAACATTATAATGATCATTTGTTACGGGGAGCTGAAAAGTCAAGCATCCTTTATTTTAGAGTAAAATTGTTTGAAACCATGTAACAGAATAACACCACCTGTAAAATGATATTACACTACCCCAATCAAGATAGGCATCTACACTTGTAAAACCCATGGAGAAGTCTTATCCATTGGAGGCAGCGCAGGGTGACTAAGACTATGACAAAAACATTTTTTTTGAAAGCACAGCTTTTGCGTGGAAGGCTTGCTGGTGAAAACATAGCATCCCAAAGCCAGGGTGGATGCATCAGCCTCTTCCTGAAGGACAGTAGGAATCAGGACTCATAGTAAAGGTGGTATCTTTTATTAGTCCAACTAGATTTTTGCAAAAAAAAAAAACAATTAAAAAAAATCTTTAATTACAAGCTTTCGGGCACAAACCCTTCTTCAGGTATAGGAGAAAAGATTGTAAACGTTCTCCTGGGTAGAAACCAAAGTTTATATTTCATAGGAGAATAGGGCATTTCAAGAACATTTTCATCCAGTAACATCCTAAAATGTGGGGGGTCCTGCAAAGGACCACAAAAAGCATTGCAAACGCATCTAACTCTTTGTAAAGGGACTGGCGGAGATTGTGGACTTGATTTTCTACTTCCAGAGGAACTTGGCATGGGCGCTGAGGACAAGCTGGGCAGGGGGAAGAGGAGGAGGAAGAGGAGAGAGGGGGGCTCTGCCTTCTCCCACGCTCAGGCCCATTTATTCTTCAAAGGGCATTCGTGCAGCTGAGAAGTCAATAGCCAAGGGGCAGCGATGCAGAATCGGCAGCGGGCGGGTGCGTTTGCCACCCTGCACCATCCTGGTTTATTTCCCGGCGGACGGATGCGCTCGTTTACGGCGCTTTCAGGTCCCGGGGGCGCTTGTACACGACACGCCGTTTCCCGTTTACGCCGCCGTGACCGCGTTTGCACGAGCGGGATTTCCAACGCGTGGGCCTGGCTCGGTGCGTTGGCCGATCGAGGAGTTGTTCAGCGTGCTGGGGCTCGAGGTGCCCGTCCGCGACTGCGGGGAAGCGAGCGGCGCCCCGCTTCACATCCCGACGCGCAGGGGACGAGCCTGAGCCTGGGCTTGTCGGCTGAGTCTCCTTGCTCATCTCCTACACAGCGGTTCTCAACCTTTTTTAGGCTTTAGTCTTGTTAGGCTCACGCCAACCCTTAGCGAATGTTAGCTCTTGGGTTGTCGCTCTTTTTTTTCTGATGAGCGAACGAAGAGCAGAAATCTTCGAAATCTCTGGATTACGCGTGTGGTCCTCTCAGGGGCTGGTGGCCCCTGAACAGCTCTTGGGGCAACCCAGGGCGCTGCAGCCCCCTTGCTTCCAGTGTCCCTGGGGTGACACCCTGCTGCCCCTCCCTCACACCTCAGGAACCCTTGGCCACACCCAATATGGCGTCCGAGGGCGGGGTGCTGCTGAGGGGATGTGACCACGTGACAGCCCCCTCCCCATCCAAGATGGCGGCTGGGAAGGGCCCTTCCCCACCCAACATGGCGGCTTTGGGGCGGACGGTGTCACGTGACCACCCTTCCCCCCGCGACGGGGCGCCCCCCATTCCGAGCCGGGAGGGGCGTGTCCCGGGGAGGCCCCGCCCCCTCGCGCGGCGCCGCCA